GGTCGCGCGTGCCCTCCTGTGCGCTCGTCGAGAGAGCCAGCACTCGGAGCGAGTTTGCGATCCGGAACGGGTGGGCGAAATGGCACCAGCCCCGAATAGGCGGACGCGCGCGCCCAATTCGCGGGACCGGAGAAAGCGACACAGACGACGAGCGCAACGCAGACGGCGAACGTCGACAGGCAAACAGCGGGCAGGAAGAGCGAGTGCACCGCGGACCCACGGCAGCAGCCCAGGCAAAAGTGAGCGAGCCGGCCCATGCGGCAGCCGAGCGCAGCCCAACCAGCTGCTTCGGCCGCGGCCCCGCCCGCCGTCCTACGGCGGCAGGCCCTGGCGCATGCCCCGCCGATGCGTGCCCCGCAGACTCAGCCGCGGGCCCCGCCTCCCAGGGCATCGACGGGGCTGCCCCCGCACGAGTCGACGCCCGGATGCGCCCGGCTCTTCCGGCCACCTCCTCTGAAGCATGCGCAGCTTGACGCCCGCGCTGCAGTGGCCGCAGTGGCGGCCTCGTCCACCGTCGATGCGGTGGCTGCAATGACCGCTCCCGTATTCTCCAATAGGTTGATGGACATTGGTGACTTCGCAAGGCTGGTGCCTGACGGCCCAACACCGCCGCAGTCGGCCACGGCAGTGCAATGACAGCAGTGGATGGCAGCAGCCTCCCCGGCAGCACGACGACCGCCTTTGGCTGCCAGGGCCACGGGCAAATGCACAACATGGACCCAGGCTCACTGGGCGCGTTCCACTTATCGCAATGTGCCGATTCGCAAACGCCCGAAAAAACACGTGTCTGTTTCGATGTAATGCGTCGTAAATCCCCCGCGGTGGATCCAGGCCACTTGCGAGTAGCTACTTTGCGAGTAGTGGAACGCGCTCGTCTACAAGCATCATTCACCAAAGCGGAGGCACACCATGCCTGCAGCAGAGCGGGCGCGCCGCGGCCGCAATGGCGGCGCACACACAGCCTTCGCCACACATGCAGCAACAGCAGCAGCAGCACCAGAACCAGCAACAGGCGGAGCCACAACTTCAGGGGCAACGATAGGGGGGGATAGGCATAGGGGGGGATGCATCGACCCCCAAACGCCCATTGATCGCCGATAGGTGTCCGATAGCCCCAACCTCCCCAGGAACGTGCGGATTCACTATCGGAGGCCTATCGCCGATGTATCGGCGGTGTATCGCCGATTCCAGGTCGATGTTTCCCCCCCTATCCCTATCCCCCCCTATCGTTGCCCCTCACAACTGCAACCAGATGAACGAAAGACTGCTGCAGCACTTAATGAACATTCTACAGCAGGTCAACGAGCAGAAGTAGTTGGCGAACAATTTGCAGGATGACGTGTTGGCGTTCCAGAACAAAGCGAGCATTGAATGAGCAGCTGGCCACGGACGATTGGGAACGGCAGCAGCCCGGCGGGTGGATGTAGAGGTTAAGGTGCGAGGGATGAATGCGCCGCAGTGGCGGCCACTCTCGCGCGAACCCCGCGCGGAAAGCAAACTCGCGGGCTCGCGCGGACATGAGAAATAACCGCTTGCATCCTGTATTGCCCTTTTCCTTCTTGTTCATCAGTTAGTTAACCCTCTCTCCTCCTCCTCCTCCCCCTCCTCCTCCTCCTCCTCCTCCTCCTCCACCTCCTCCTCCTCCCCATCACATTAGATTGTTAATTTTTTGTTTCTCTCTCTCTCTATCTCTCTCTCTCTCTCTCTCTCCCCCCCTCCGCTCTCTCTCTCTCTCACTTTCTTTGTTGTTCTCTCCCTCTCTCTTTCTCTCTTTCTCTCGCTCTCTCACTCTCTCTCTCTCTCTTTCTTTCTGTCTATGTATGTGTTTGTTCTCTCTCTCTCTGTCTCCCTCTCTTTTTCTCTCGTTCGAATGGCATGTAGTTAAGACGAAACAAGGCGCATAAAAACAAGCCTTGTACTCGACTGGCATGCAGGGGCGACGAAACAGGGCGTACCTGAGACCTTGCAATGGAAAAAGGTTGCTGGGCGAACCTGCAACCTTACAGCGAAGGGCTGCCAGGGCTTCCGAACCGAGTACAGTGACACTTCTATTCGGGCCACTGGTTTCGGTCAAACTGGGTCGTTCGGGATAGGTCCGGGGGTCGGCGAAGCTTGCTGCGCCGCCGTCATTTTGGCCACAGCTCCCATATGTTTTCCAGATATAACACATTTTGGCCACAACTCTCAGATATCTTGGTCACAACTCCCAGTTATCATGTTGGCCACAACTCATCTGACAGCCATATCCCAGATATCTTCTGCTGTTTTTCTTCGTCCTCGCAGTCGTTCCCCTCTCCCCCCCTCTCAGAGGCCGCCGTCGTCGTTGTCGTCGTCGTGGTTGTTCCGTCTTCCTCCCTCGTCGTCGTCGTCGGTCCGTTTTCCTTCCTCGTCGTCGTCGTCGTTCCCTTCTCCTCCCATTCTTCCTCTTGGTGGCGCCCCCCCCCCCCCGCGCGGGCAGCTCTTCTGCTTCACGCTGTTCATCCCCAACACGTACGAGGAG